CAAACTCTTTTGCAAATAAGCAGAGAAGTAGTAGGTGCCCATGTATTTTGATCCATTTGATATTATCCCAACAAAAAAATACTCAACCAATTCAAACCTTTTTGCCTTCGGGCCTTTTCTTTTGAAAATATTTTCATAAAGAACATGTTAATTCCTTTCTACGACAAATGTGTGAGTCTCCAAAGGCCGAGCTGCGGTAGAATGTGAAATTTAATATCGTTCATTAAAAAATACATAACAAACCAAAAAAATTAGAAGAACTACGGTGTTTTGATTCCTTCGCCAGATACGTAGGCACTGAGTTGCAAAATTCGGGTGAACGCAATAATAAAAAACTTTCTTTTTATTCTTTAATAATTCATTCATGCATTCTCTTTAGCAATTTTAAGCTTTACATAACACATCTTTTGATTAGAACAAATAGATTAGATCCCGTTTAGTACAACAGAAGTTTAGAGTGTTAATACTTTCCCTTTACATAACCGGCTCCCGTACCTTGATCTCTATTTTGCTCTGGGTTTTATTCGCTATTTTATCATTTCCACTTGAAAACAATAAAGTGTGGTGGCGACTTTCACTTTGTGAGTTAAGTCAATCAATGACTTAGTCTCAATATTTTATCGCTACATTAGTCTGCATGCATTGTGCCACCTCCATGCGTCCAGTAGGTGATTCTCCATGTTAGCATGCGTGCACCCTCACTGTTAGCCTTTAATCTGGTTGATTGACTCGCTAGTTTTCACATCATGTGGTCTACCTCGAGTCAACAAATTTGACTCTCTATTGAGTCTTTCACCCACTAGGCCAAGTGTTTTCTCCACTTGTACCCCCCAGGTTTTCTAGTGGCAGCGTCCATTCATGTGGGCTTTTGTTCTTGGTTATTTTCCAGCCCATTTTTTTATCTTATTTTTTTTTCATTTGTTTAATTAAGTTAATTGTAATTTAATTAATTAATTTTTTTAATTGATTTTAATTAACTAAGTTGATTAATTAAATTAATTTTTAATGAATCCTTTGTTAATTAGTTTCTATTAATTTGATTAATGGTTTTAATTACTATATTTAGTTTTATTAAATTTATGCAAATTATTGTATTATCCTTAGTTAGACCTTGTTTGTTTTCTCTTTATTTCTTGTTTGTTCTTTTTTATCATTTCATTTATATTATTTCCCATTTGGCAAGGTGTATCTCACACCCTTGGGTTAATATTATTTTATTATTTTTATCATTTTTATTTTGTTGTTTTTTGTTATTTTAGTTAATTTCTAACTCAAGATTAAAATCAATCATTTTTCATAAAGAGAACAAAATAAGTTTCATCAAACGTCGAGTATTTTTCTCAAATAAAATTCGATTGAACGTAGTGCGAGTGTTTGATCCAATGTCCAATATCTCTTCTTCTTAATTTAAATTCTTTTCATAATCAATTTAAAATGCTTGATCCAACGTCAAGTGTCGCTTCTTCTGAATAATCCAATTTCAAACTAAATCACTTGAACACTTGATCAAACGTCAAGTTGTTCATTTTTAAAATCATTTTCACAATAAATTAGAATGAAAAAGAGTGATTGGGTGTAAGCTTCTCCCTTTCCTGAGTACTTTGACATTGTTGTAGGGCTCACTGTTAGAGTACTTGTCTTACTAACTAAAATACAATAAATTAAACAAATTTAGTTCGTTCTTTCACGAAACGAAAAAAGATTTATTGGGTGTAGGCCTTTTTCCTTTCTGAGCACTCATATATTATTGTGGAGCTCATTGTATGAATACTTGTCTCTCGTTAGGGAACAATGGATGTATTTTTCTCACACTTTTTCTAATAACTTTTTGAATGAAAAAAAGAGTGATTGGGCATAGGCCTCTTCTTTTTCTGAGTACTTGGGCATTACCGTGGGCTCACTATTAGAGTACTTGTCTGCAAATAAAACCAATTCAACTCATCAAACTTATTTTTCTCCCGAGTGTGGCTTCGAAAACCTTTTTAAAAATGAGTATGCTTTATCCATTTCAACGTGAAACAAACAAAGGTTTCATCCTCTAATATCGAGCATCAAGCAAAGGTTTAACCGCTCGATGTTTTTAAAGCATCACTCTCTAAAATCAACCAACAAATCAGTGGTTTTCTACCATAAACTACAAAGCTCTGGTTCTCATTGCACCATGAGGATACATACGCACATGATTTTGAAACCTTGGCGAGCACAATAATAAAAAAACCTAAAACTCTTTCTTTCTTTTCTCCCATAATAAGTAGAAGATCACAAATTGATATCACGCTAACACTCTTTTGCAAAATTAATTAAATGGGTATCGTTGAGTACAAAGGATGTGAGGGATGCTAATATACTCCTCTTGCATAACCGACTACCGAACTCCATCTAATTGAGACGATCATTTCTCTTTGCTTTTGTGAGTTTTATCAATATTTTCCATTTCCTTTGAAATAAATAAAGTTCAGTGACGACTCTGTTGTATTTCAAACATTCCTTACGCCCGGGTATTTTTTGCACCGCGACAATATAGTTAGACATGTTTTGTATTAATATTAATTATGTCAAATGAATATATTTTCATAGATTTCAATGTATGTTTTAGTTTCCTAAATATTTCTCCATTTTTCTATTCTAAAAGAGATTTTGTTTGAACAGTGCAGGGTGAATTCGGAAACGCATTTCTGAATTCACCTCAAATGTTTAAAAACAATACAAACGAGAGTTTATTTAGAAATTTATTTTCTAATACATCCTAATTTCACTAAACGAAACAGGGTCCAAAAATGCATTTTCGAAATATCTCTTGAGACCGAATCAGGTTTCTGAAGTCCATATTGAACTAAAACTTGTATAAATATGGGTCTCTCTCTCATCTCATTTTTTTAATAAATTGACATCACACCAGAATGAATATATATTGGCATGTCGCATTTGTCTATTTCCGGCGCGAAGGCCTCATTTGAATTTAGGGTCATTGAGTATACCTCTCTTGTAGATTTGAAATTTATACTAGAAAATCTCCTAAAATACTTAGACGATCAAAAAGTTGTGAAACTCGAATATTGTTCACCCTTAATTGACAACAAAGAAAAGATTTAGTACATCAAGTTTGAACTGAAGTCGGATGAAGATTTAAAAATTATGTGGAGTACATATTGTCCTTATGAAAAAAGGTTTGATCGAGCTGGATGCGAAAATTACGAGATCGATCGAAGAAATTTTGAAGATGTTGAAACGTCTCAATTGTAGATGAAATGTATTGTTCGAATTATATTAACAATTATCTAATGTAATGTTTCATTTTTTATGTATGTGATAACAATTATCGATATTAATTTATCTCTGTTTTTGTATCTGCTTCATTTTTGTATTTATTTCTAGTTCATTATAGTCCATAAATACACTTTCATAAAGTTTATAGATATGCATTTCCAACTTAAATTTAGCCATAGAATTGAAGCGTGACTCAATAACAAAGAGATTGTACGAATGAGATGCATTCAAAGATGCATATTCGAATTTTAAAAATAATTTAAATTTTTTCCATAGGGTGAGAAAAATATTTTCTAAATATAATTCAAATATATTTAGGCCTTTTGGTTAGGCGCTGGCGTTGTGTGTAGTTTCGGGATTTTAATGTGTTTGTTTTCCTCCAAACTTTTGTCTTGTTGAATGTGTATAACTTTTCTTTGCATTTCTCATGCTTGGATGTCGTTTATTATTAATATATTATATATTATTTTTTTCTCTTTTGAAAAAATAGTATCGAGTCTAACAATTACGATATTTGTAAATTGAATTAGACCTTACAAAATAGAATAATATGTTAATACTTCATCTATCCTTTTTTTTAAATACCATTAACATTTTTTCATGTATTAAGAAAGATATATAATAGTGAATATGTACATTTTTGTATAAAATATTAGTGAATTTTCTTTGATGTATAGATATATTTAATATTCACTTTCATATTTCAGAGAAAGAAAAAAATAGAAAAATCAATTAACATTATGCCTGAGAGAGAAATACATATTTAATAACTTGAAAGTGTTGAAAATGCTACCAAGTGTCTTATTGAAAATTTGAAAGGATTGGAAATGCTAAGTATCTTATTGAAAGAAAAAAAAAATTACTATATCGGCACTCGTTATGAATCAATTGTAATATTTTATCATCTCAATATATGCTTTTTTTTGTGTGTATAGTCAACAAGCGCGGAAGATTTGTATGAGCAACTTCGAGAAATGAAAATCCTAGTTTTTTTCAGTGTCGTCGTTGAGTTCAATGCTGTCTTTGACTTTTTCACTCGGGTTGGATTTTGCTTGGTTTCAATTCCAACACCATTGCTCTCATTACCAAGATCAAAGGTGCTAATTTTCTGGATCTTTTCCGACCCATAGCTATTTCTAATTTCAAATTCAAGTTGATATCCAAGATCATTGCAGATAGGCTCTCTTCTATTATGCCGTTTTTAATTTCCAAAGAGCAACGGGGTTTTATTCAAGAAAGGCGTATTCATGATTGTATTGGTTTAGTTTCTGAGGCTTTTAATTTGTTGGATTCTAAGAGTTGGTGCGACAATTTAGCTTCAAAGTGGATATTAGGAAGGCGTTTGACACTCTTAATTGGAAATTCCTTTTGATGGTGCTCCAAAAATTTGGTTTCATTCACGAATTCTGTTTATGGATTAACTTTATTCTTTGCTCGACATTCTTGTCCATTAATATTAATGGGGCTAATTGTTTTAAAGGGATTCGGCAAGGAGACCCGTTATCGTTGTTACTTTTAAGTGCTTAGTAGAAAAATTCTCCAATTAGTAGGATTCTATAGTAGGCCCTAAGAAAATCAATGTTCCCTCTCATATTTTGTATGCAGATAATATTCTAATTTTTTGCAAAGGTAAAATTTTCAACATCAATACTTTTATTGCTATCTTTAAAGACTATGAGACTGTTTTGGGGCAAATCGTAAATCGTAAGAAGTCCTTCATTTTTGGTGGTGCTATGTTTTCCTCCCGCCTCAATATTCTGACTGATTTATCTAGTTTTGTCATTGGTTCTTCTACGATGCAGTATCTTGGGTTACCTATTTTCAAGGGTAAGTCTAAGAAAGTGTACTTACAACCTCTTGCTGATAAAGTTATTTCTAAGTTGGCTTCGTGGAAAGTTTATTTGCTTTCCTTAGTGGGTCGTGTGAAGCGGGCTAAATTCTCTATTCAAGGGATGTTTATGCATAGCATGGTTGTGTATGATTGGTCGGTTTCTCTTCTTAGAATTTTGGAAAGAGCGATGAAAAGATTCATTTGGAATGGGGATAATACTAAAAGTAAAGTTATTATTATGGCTTGGAACACCATTTGCCTCCCGATTGCGGAAGGGGGCTTGGGAATTAGATATCTTTGTATATTGAATGAAGTTATCGATTTGAAGCTTGTTTGGAATGTCTTAAACTCTTCCAATAGTTGGGCCTCTCTCCATAGGAATCGCATTTACTGTAACAACAGGATCTCTAAAATTCACATTTTCTCTTCTTTGCGTGATAATTGGTGTGGCTCCCCATTTTGCCTGGATAATGAGGCCCGAGCTATCACCGTGGACCAATTGGTGAGTACCATCATTGTGGATGGTTCTTGGAATTTTGATCGGTCATATTCTCCTTTGTCTATTCCCTTCAAGTGTGTATCTCAAACTATCATATCCCCTTTGATTTATGACCGGACAAGAGATGTTAAAACTCCTCTTCTGATGATGATTTTTCGATTAAGCTTGCTTATGAACTTAAGTGCAAAAGTGGTATTCGAAAAGATTGATGGAGGTTAATTTGGGACAAATAGATTCCTCCTTCGAAATCGTCTATGGTTTGTAGACTTATTCACCACAAGATCCCCACTGATATAATTGAAAGCGAAGGAGTTTCAGGTTTCCTTTCAAATGTGACCTTTGTGGTTGCGCGGAGGAAACAGAAAATCATCTTTTTTTAATGCATTTATGCTTTGAAGCTTTAGGTGTGGCTGGAAATATGTTAAGTATCTCTTCTAATATTCTTGGTTGGTCAGATGTCTGAAGGATTCTTGACAAAGATGGTGCGGATCAATGTAGGATCATTTTCAAAACTGCTTTCATTTTCACTTTCAATTCGATTTAGGTGGCTCGCAACAAGGTTAGATTTGATGAATCCCTTATCTCTTTTTCATCTTCTACCTCTTTCATTTTGGCCACAGTTTCAACTGCTGGGAATACGGTGGTTGATGATTCTCACCTTAATATAAGTGATTTTGTGATCCTTAAGAGGTTTAAGGTGATAATCTGGCCCCCGAGGGCTCCGAATATTAAGAAAGTGTTATGGCAGCCCCCTTTGAGGGTTTGGATCAAGTTTAATACTGATTGGGCAGCAATTTCCTCTTCTAGTCACTCTGCTTGTGGCAGTTTTGCTAGAGACAGTGGTGGTTGTTTTTTGAGCGCTTTTGCCTCTTTCTTAGGGGTTGGTGATTCTCTCATGACCGAACTTTCGAGTGCAATGATTGCAATTGAGTTCGCCAATGATAGAAATTAGAGAAATTTGTGGTTGTAAACATACTCCAAAGCTGTCATCGAAACTTTTAAACCCCCGTTTAAGATTCCCTTGATAATTGAAAATAGATGGATTAGTTTGTCAAAGGAATTTTGTAATTTCTCATATCTATAGAAAAAGAAATAACTGTGCAAATGCCCTTACTAATTTAGATTTATCTCTACTTCTCATTTTAATTCTATCCCTATTTTCATAAGGAAAGATTTTATAAAGAATAAGCTAGATTTACTTTTCTTTATATTCAATTTAATTCTATCCCCTCACCTCTTTTTTTTGTCCCATTTTTCTTTCAATATTATAACCTTATTCAAAATATATATATATATATATATATATATATATATATATATATATATATATATATATATATATATATATATATATATATATATATATATATATATATATATATATATATATATAAACTTTATTGGCAAATGTCTTCTCAAATCTGGTGGGAATCTAATACATTGGTACAGCACATTTGATGGTAATCATCAATTTATTTATGTTATCAAACTCAAATTAAATTACATGCAAATACTTTTTTTTCAAAATTAAAGTGTCTATCGAAAAATGGTAGTACGGAAAGCTAAATATAACTTCATAACTTTAAGGATTTGATGTGATATAATGATGGGAAAAAAGGAGCAAATCTTAGCATTTTTTTTTCTTCTCATTTTCTTCATAAAAAAAAGAAGAATAAAAGATATAGCCTTTACCAAATCCTCACCACCATATAATTCAATCAATAATGTTGACTCGATGTAAATTACAATTTCTGCATTGTATTCCTCCACCAACAATCTCCAAATCTGACCTTCATCCTCGGGAAAAAGGGAAGACAAAAAATAATATGACACACGGGCGAGAAAGGAAACCACAAAAACCCACCAAAAATTTGCATTCACACAATGTACAAAATACACAACATTGGATAAGAACATATCCAAAACCCGCAAATGTACTCCCCAGTGAACCTGCTAATCGGTAGCAGCATCAATTGATTTTCCTGTCCTTGCATGTGAGATACGATTTGCATAAATAGTAACCAACTTCAGTTGTGTGCTATTAAGTCCTTCCAAATATGGCAAGAATGCTTTCCCAAGCATGATATAGATATCCACTAGACAGAAAACAACAGTCTGTTCCATCCACCACCATTAACATAAAATGAGAATAATTGAAGAGGCCAATAACAAATGAAGAAAAAGGATATGCAATAAACACTCCAACAACTATACAGAGAAAAATAAGAATCCTCTCTCATTTAAAGATATATCTCAAACTAAGTATTTTTCCGACATTTTCCCGATTTAGTTTTCCTTTTTCAAATGTCTCAAACTACTTCACTATTTCACGGAATTTCTAATGAAGTGAACTATTTGAGATTGTCCATACAACAGAATTATTAAGAAATTATAGAAACAGGCACTGTAAAAAATAGTATTTCCATGATAATAGGTACTCATTGATTAGTGAAAAGAAAAGAGAGTTGGAAAGGGCAAACTTGACCCACCCAACCTCAATATTAAACAGTTCATATTTCAAAGATTTTGTTTGGAAGTTTGGAGGGGAGGCTTTGTAAAAAAGGAAAGGATTGAGTGGAAAGAATTGAGGGATTTTGGTGGAGAGGGTTTTGCGGGGTTTATTTTTATTCATAATACAAAATCCCCCTAGTTTGCGATTTTGATAACCTATCACACATTAATATTTTAATTAAGTGCCAAATATGCCTCAAGCATCTAGAGTGTATTCAGTTCGGCATTTGAAATCCTCAAACCATGCTACTGCAACAAACTATTGCTCAAACTATGTTGCAAAATCATACACACCCCTAACCTCCAGTTGGATGAATTTATCAGAAACAAAATACCATTTCATAATGTTCTCCGTATACAGAAATAACTTATCACTCTTTAAATGTGATAAGTGGACGGCCATTAAATAATGGATGCAAGCAAAAGACCTCAAGTACCTTACGAATATCCGCACTCTGGTTTCCAAAAGCTTCAAACAATGCAGGCAGAAATGAGGGTAACTGAGCCATCAATTCCTCCTGAGAGAGCCGCCCCACAATCTGAAGGGAATAATATTCAGTTAAACATGAATACATTTAGGCAAATTTATATATGAACAAAAATTTGTAACTTCGTATGTGGTATGGTTAAAACATGATACAAATTAGTTGAGGAGGAACTGTTGGAAATATGCACATATAAATACAATAGTAGTTGCAAATTTCTGTTAGGATATAGAATATAGGATCACTAAAGTAGCTAAGAGTTAGTTAAGAGAAGTTAGTTAGTTGATTAGTTTGTTAGGTGGTTGTTACAAGTTGTTAATTTGGTTATGTTTAGAAAGTCTTTATATGGCCCTAAATTTGCAAAGTGCTAGTTAAAATACTAATTTAAATCATAAACCCCACGATTTCGCAACTACGCCTACCCTCAGGGATTTAAGAGCCTACCCTCAGGGATTTAAGAGTTCATAATCTAATTTTGGTGGAATCTCCCCTGTTAGTCATTGAATCGTATAACTATTTCTCTTGTTTGAGACTTATGAGTTATGAGTTTGCATGACTTTACTTCTTGACTTATGCTATTATGCAGCTATGCTCATGAATGAAATTTATATAAGTATTTGAAATCTGATTTAAGGATTTAATTATCTTATTTGTGAGCTTTGCTTATGAATTTAAAGTTACATTAGTATTTCAAGATATTTAAGGGTTTTTTGTCTTGTCTTACTAAGGTTATTTTATAAGCATACATGTGAATTTATGCACATGAGTTTAATGAATTTTGTATAATCTTACAACTAGTGTTACGATTCTACGATTTTGCTTTCCTTTCCGATTTTGTGAAAAATCTCGATTTTAACTATCAGTGTGGGGGGTAGCTTTAGGAATAATTGAGTTTTGGGACTTAATCCGGTATGAAAGGAGAGTGCTCCTTTGTAAACCTTTGTATCTTCTCTTTCAATCTCTCTCTACATAAATAAGTAATCCTTCATTTATTTGCAATTTTTATTCATATGAACATGTATTTACACCATTATTCTAGGAATTGTTTTCTTGCTCAAAGAAAGGATCCTATCCTAAAAGATTCATTCCTAGTTGTAGCCCTTGTAGATTTAGCATCACATTCCAACAGCATTGCCATTGATTACTGTGGAGATAATAAATCTACACATGTAGACTGACTAGTCACACGACTTACTAAAATTACATAGAAGCATAACAGAAACATTTGTGCACTTTACCTTAGTCAAGCAATTTATACAAGTGACTAGAGTTTTCTCGTCCTCAGTAACCAGAAGAGGAATAATAACCTGAAAAAATTTCAGTTAATAATACAAACCTACTCCCTTTTTCAATTATACATTTTTAAAGAAGCAAAGAGGGCCAAAAAGTAGAGAGAATTAAAGAAATATGTACACTTAAGCATCTAAATGGATCATTCTGAGATAAAACAATTGTCAGGCAGTGCTCCGCTTCATTTGAAACCTGGAGAAAGGGTGAAAACTCAGACTTAAAAGAGAAAGAAAAAAAACTATGTACGAGTAGAACAGGAGGTTAAATCAGTTACCTTGGGAACAATATCCTTTGTAACATTAAGGAGCTTTTCAATTACAATCTCAACTGAATTTTCCATGGCATCTTTCTGGAAACAACAAACACAGATAAAACAATCGCTTAGTGTAGCACAATATGCCCACCAGGGGGAAATTATGTACAATTGCAAGTACAGAAATGAGCTAGAGCATAATCTGAAGAAAAAAATGGCACAAACGGAATAAGAACCTGATTTTTAAGCATTTCAACTATCAATGAAAGAGCAAGCTCCCTGATTGAGGAATCTGAATCATCCAGCACCTCAAGCACAACAGTCAAAATCTGATTGAAGTACTGCAATTACACCATGAAACAATTTTTGTCAAACCAAGAAGAGAAATCCAAATATATAAGTCAATTTTTGTTTAACACAATGTATGCAAAACTTCTCCATTTATTGATCACAACTCAGAAATATAAAAATCAGAAAAACCCACAATTATATGCAAATAGATATTTGTTTTTGGAGAAGATGTCTGAAAACTATAGATAAATAACATTACATAATTTTAACATGAATAACTATCAAATCAAAAACATCAATATGACAATAAGAAATGGCATTTGTGGAACAATAAGGAGAGAGGCACACATCAAATTCAACATGCCTGGATCCAAACAGAATGATCATTTTCTGCAGAAGCTTCAACTAACTGTAGAAGTGCAGTCCGCTTACTTGAAATAGTGCTTCCATCACCCCCACTGCATATCTACACAAACAAATGCTATATCCTTAGTCATGAGAAAATCAAAAGTACAACTATAAAAATAAACTTCAAATAATGCTTCCATCACCCCAATTGCATATCTACACAAACAAATGCTATATCTTTAGTCGTGAGAAAATCAAAAGTATAACTATTAAATTGCATAACTCACTATATGAAGAATTTGAGGAATGCTGAGTCCTATGTTTGTCATGCAGTTTCCCTTCACATCTTTAGCTGAGTGATGATTATGGTTCAATTTGGAAATATTTAAATGTTCTAATGACATCAGACCATTAACATCCACATCAGATGATATGCCTTCAAAGTTAATGCTACTATCCTCATATCCAAGTTGGTCAGTTTGAAAGCCAAAGCTTTGATCCATTGAATTGACTGGGTAAGCAAGATTTTTGGTTTTTGAACCAACAATACCATTATCACAATCAGTCTGAAGATTATGATACAAATGTTCCTCTGTTTCATCAGAAGCTGGTTGGCCAAGACTGGCTATAATCAAGTTTGAATCTTGGGAACTCCATTTCTTGCCACCGTCACTATCTAGAGAACCGCCAGAATACCTCCCCATATAATGAGCTTTCCTAGACAAACCAGCATATCCCTCTTCAGAGGATGTTCCTACAACATCAGATGGATCATAGGAAGATTTAGTACGCCGCTCTTTCTTGTTCTGCAGATAGTTCATTAAGTCTACCTCAATGCGAGGGGTGCGCTGTTTAAGGGCTCGTCTCAACGAATTTTGTTCATCAACGGACAAACTAAGAATAAAATTCAAAACTGCAGATGAATCAAAGTGGGAGTATATTGATATAATGCATGTAATAGCTGCTTCTTTAAGCTTTGTATTTTTATCATGAACCAATGGGGCTAACTTGGCAAGCCATAATTTTAGGATTCCAATATTAGCAGCACCTTCTGGGTTCATTGTATGCTTGTTAAAGGAATTGATTGCAAACTCAATAACAGCCAATTTAGCTTTAGGGGACCTTTGTTCATCAAGAGATCGTAGCAATGCAGGCAACAGAGAATCTATACTGTACGCTTTACCAACAGCCTCCAAAGTCGTAGAGCATGCTTGCCTGACTAGCTCTTTGGGGTCAATTAAACGAGAAAACACATGGGGTAACATTCGTTCCATGTAACTCTCAAACGGCTTTCGGCATGTACAAATAATATCTGCAAGTGTGGAGAGAGCCGCCTGTGCAACTTTATGATGGGGGTCATCCAAGTGCTGAAAAAATAACTTCATTACTTTCTCAAAATTCTGAACTACTTCTTGAACTCCTTTTTGACCATGCTCCAATAACGAGTGAAGGTAATTAAAGGCAGCAATCCTGGCAGACCAGTCAGAACCAGAACTAAGTCCTTCACTCAGAGCTTCATGAAGAGATGCCGGTCCATCTGCATAATTTGACATCTCTCCAATAGATAATTGACTATCATCAAGACTCCTTCTCCTGCCAGCAGACACGCGTGCAGTTACGTTCTTTCTCAATAGAGGCCTCTGAAAATTAGGCACTTGACTATTCTGTGAATCCCTAAAGTTTCCATCTCTACAGAGGGTATCCATATACTGCCTATCCACAGTGGGGCTCGTATATCGCCTAGTCTCCCTGATATAACTGTTTTCATCAACAGAACTTCTTCCTTGTAATTTTTCAGTAGCTCTTTTATTTGTGTATGCTGAAAAATCTGATGAAGGCTCAATACCGTTATTGCTATAATATGAAAACTTGTCAGAATCTTTGGAAGCTTGAATTTGGGTGATTATATTAGACAAACCCATACCATTGTTCCGGCTACTAGCTCTATTGACACCCAAACCAGATGATTCGGTTGTTGAAAGGATGGTCGGATGATTAGAGGCTGAAACAGAAGCAGGGAATGGAGGATCACGAGATGAGGGAGGGTCAACTCCTGCACTAGGGGAAATAAGAGATAAATTTAGCCGCTCACAAAAAGTTTTAAAACAATAACGCTAACATCATCACCATTGAATTGCAACAAGCATTAATAGTGAGGTAGAAATAAAATATCTAACACATTAACTTATTTGGTACCTAGATCCAAACTTGAAGATCGCAGAGCAGATGAATTATGCTTATTTGACAAATCCAAACCTCTAAGCATGCTCTCAATAGCAGTGACCTTCTGTTTGCTTGCATGCAGTACACTTTCTAAACTACGTTCTGTACCTTTACCAAGTGACTTAGCTTGTGAAAGAAGAACACCAGAGGAGACAGAAGTCCCCGTTGATAAACTAGAACTTCTGTCCATGGCAACAATAGCTGAAGTTCCATAACCAGTCAGATTAGCGGGATTTGATGCTTGATTAGTTGATGGAATTGGTGCACTTCTATCACGAATGGAAGGTGATGCATGTCGCCTATGTTTGCCTCCATCCTCTTCATTTATCAACTGCAATTCATACGCACTTCAAAAGATGGCTTAAGCAACAAAACAAAAGAAGAATAACAACTTCAAATAAACATATACCCTTTGAATAGAAGGGTCAAAGGATGAAAATAGACGACGGGAACGCTCGGGCCAAGTTTTTGCGAACATTCTGTAGCACATCCTTGCAGTCGACCGCACCTATAAAGTTTCACATTATGATCATTTTCATACACACATTCCTTGGCACTGACAATATGGTCCAGTATGAAATATGCCATGTCAACATACATCCCAGTTAATATGCTGACAATTATACTTTAAACCAATAAAACTTTTTATAGATAAAAGATCGTGTATTAAAATATAACACAAACTGCATAATGCAAAAGAACTTTTAGAACACCTTACGTTACTGACAACGTAACACACTGAAACAGAGAAATAAAACAATTACATCATCTACACACCTTTCCTCAAAGATACGTAATAGAATTTGCATATGAAATGATGAATTAATATATGTAATCAAGTTAGATGATTTATGTTACTGATCCCGAGTCCAAAATGAACATGATGGCAGAGGAGTGGTGGGATTTTCACAAAACACAAATCCATCTTGATGAAACAAAAACTTATGTCACCCCTTCCAAACAATGATGAAAAAAAACAGTCCATAGGAATGTGATAGCAAAGGAGTGGTGAATTTTTCACAACACAACTCCCTCTTGGATACAGTTTTTTACTGAAATGTTGGTCAATTGATCTTTAGTCATTGAATTTGCAAAGGAGGAATGTAAAACAGAACAAACTTTTTGTAACCATTTGAAAGACAGCTAATCAAAATATAAGATTCAATTCTATATGAGTTTTCTCATGCAGAGTTTCAGAATTTTAATTATTCCTTATCATGCACGCATGCACGGTAAGACACAAAGTGAACCAATAAATAACTTTGATTGTGGATTTTCACAATTTCAGCATAAATGCTGCATGTCATGACATTATACAAGGAGTCACTTTCGGTTCCTACAACTTCAGCTTCAATGCAACCGTATTGAGTAATGGAAAAAGAATAGAGCAATGAAGAGTTTGTCAGGATTGAAATATGACTATGATGCACAATCTATACGTATCAAACATCAAATAGCCTACACCTATATAAGTTACCTCGCTCATTGCGTCTGAAACACAACACCTTATCATATCCTCGTATAAATCTGCTGATCGTTGTATTTCTGGTGCATCAGGCCAATGTTCTAGTATCAAAAGAGCATAATCACAACACCTACAATACAAATGATATTAGTTAAAACCACAACTTTCACGTATCTACCCCAAAGATTAAATAATTCATACCTTGCACGAAGTATTGCACTACGATCATTTTTAGCACAATCAACAATCCGAGGAAGCACACGAGCAACTTTGCAGTTGCGTAGCATCTGGAAATAGAGAACAAAGGTGAAAAAACAATGTTGCAACGGTACAAAACAACATAGAAAATCAATAAGCATATTCCACTACCGTTTTTATGCAGTTATCTGCAGACTCTGCAATTACAAGCACAGTAATCACAACCAGCTTCAAAAGGACCTGATTATCAGATGACGCATTAATTAAGATTACAAAACATTCAATACATTTAATACATAGATAAAAAAGAAATTTGAACTTACTGGTATGAAAGTTTCAGCACATGCTTCAAAATCACCCAAGAGGTCTTTCGATAAAAAGCATAATAGATGGCATGCCTAGAACAAAGGGAATACCAAACAGAAAACATTCATGAACAGCAATGATATTTGGAGATTGATTATTCAAATAAGACTTTCATCCAAATTAATATTCCAATCTAAGCTAAACTAAAACTCGGTCAAACTACTGAGTAAAAATAAAGAAATTGCAGAATCTACAGGTCATCTCTCCACATGCCCAAACCACGTAAGTCTATTTTCCACCATCTTTTCTACTATAGGTGCTACCCCCAACACTCTTTCTTAATATTTCCATTTCTAATCTTATCATATCAAGCCCCTTGCCATACATCCAACGCAACATCTTCATCTCTACTACACTTTATTCTCGTGTTGATTCTTAACCGCCAAACATTCTATCTCGTACAACATCGTAGGTCTTACCGCAGTCCAATAAAAAGTTTCTTTCAACTTGAACGGTACCTTTGTGTCACATAAAATCTCTGAAAGCCCTCCTCCATTTCAGTCACCCAACTTGAATTCGATGATTTACATTCTCTTATATTTCTCCATCGTTTTGTATTACGGACCTAAGATATTTAAACCGTGTGATTTGTTGGATAATATGTATCCGACTTTTACCTCTAATTTAGAAATGCTTCTCCTTTTGCTAAACTTACATTCCATACATTCCGTCTTACTTCTGCCTAGGCGAAAGCCACGTGTTTCTAAAGCATGTCTCCAAGTTGCCCCATATAACACAGAACAAAAAAGGACAAAAAGAAGAAACGAAAAGAAATGAAAACGATAAGACAAGCAAACATACTAAGGGCGGGGTGTCATCTATCCTTAACCATGAAAGGAATTTTACTTTTATAGCATCTCAAACATTCCCATTTCATGCAATAGAATTTGGGGGTTAGAAGCTGGCATAAGGTACAAGCCTATTTTGCATGTGTTTAATTTCAATTATTATTTATTAACAAGAATAGGGATGGCGAGGATTGAATTCTAGAGTGGCTCTAATACCATTTTGTATCTGAACAAACTAGGCCTAACTCAGCCTAAGAGCTTGCTCAGTGGAGGAGTGTGCAAGTCATGAATACCTAGCCAAAGTGGGATTGAAACATCTGAAAATAAAAGTGAAGTTTTGCTCTAAGAAATAAAAGGTAGGTGGACTCCAGCAATGAATATGCACCAACTGCCTAAAACAGGGCCCGCAGAACAGAAGATATTAGAACCAAAGAAAATGTCTGAGCACCTGCTTCACAATGGTAGACCTTCGATCTGAGAGTTGTGTGCTTAAAGGTCCAACAAGCTGTTTTAGGATTCCAAAAAAACATGGATAATCAGCAGCTCCTGAAAAGAAGTACCCAAAAGATGTTGATCATTCATGCCACAAACAAAAAATAAAGTTGTGTTGAATTTTATATCTCGTTGAAAATTATAATAAAGAATTTAAAAAATTAAAACCATTAAAATAGATATTTTAAATTTAAAATATAAAACAAAGTAGAGAACTTAAACAAAGTATAAAACAATATATTATAGAACTGTGTTTGGCTTTGATCACTTATTAATTTAAAGCGCAACTAATCTATAAATGGACTCACATTTAGTTGAATGGTGGCCCTCAATACCCACAAACTATGGCTTATGGCCCCAACCAGCACTTACTTTACCTTTATATTTTTTAACAAAGGCATATTCATCTCCATAACTCTTTGATGCAATAGTTCAATCAACAGACTTACATGTCGAATCATTAGCCATAAGCTTACAAGTAAAAAACTTAAACCAAATACATCTAAGATAACCACAGACATCCTTCAAGTCAACCTCATGTTAAAGATATTCTTACGGATATAAATGTTCTAACCTATTTAAACTATAAAAAAAAGGAGGAGGGCTTAAGATTGGATTTGAGCATATAAAATCTGTACATATACACTCCTGAAAAGAAGATGGGAAACACCAACCTCCCAAAACAAGACGTTCAATTCTCTGCAAGGCAGCAATTCGTATTGACCAGTCCTTTTCTGGTACAAGGATAGATGAAATCTTCTCAATTTCCCTGATGAATTCCTTCTCTGAATACACCTTGATAGGTTCTATGGCTTTCTCACTTACATCACCTTCTCCTGCTCATATTTAACAAGAAACAAAATACATATTAGTAAAGCACCAGAATACATAGAAAATGTGGCTAGCAAGGGAACCATAAGTGTAGATAGCATATTAGTCTAAATAGACACGGAATCAGAATAATATATAATGTGGACAAAACTTCAAACGTATGACTTTAGAATAGGGGTGTTCATGGTTCATGAACGGCACTGAACCGAACCACATAAATGTTTCAGTTCAGTTTTTAATAACCACATTAATAACAATTCAGTTAACTATTAAAACAGTTTTAATTCAGTTATAAATTGGTTTAGACCGATTTGTATATATAAACCGGTTTAAAACCAGTTTGTAGTTATAAACTAGTTTTATATTAAAAATTGTTTCAAAATCAATATATATATATATATATATATATATATATATATATATATATATATATATATATATATATATATATATATATATATATATATATATATATATATATATATATATATATATATATATATAAGTAAGGATTCTGTTTGTTTCAATGCGTTTTGAGGATTTAGATTACAAGAGCTTTGAAAATCCACTGAACCCAATTTGCAGCATCTCATAATTGTTTATTTATTAATTATTCTCAGACACTACTTTTACATATAATTCAATTGTGAAATTAATAATTTAGGTGAGGATTCAATTACGAAATACTAAGTGTTGCATATTAGTATGAAAAGAGGGCCACGAAGAGTGAAAAGTGGCTATTATTGTGAGAAGAATTACGAAATTAATCAATTAGGTGCAAATAAAAATTAAATTGAGGGTCATGGTACACAATCTGTCAATAATAAGTTAGAAATTAAATTTAAATTTCCAAAAAATGGCGTGAGGATGAAAAGAGGGGATTATTTTTAGAAAATAAAATTTATTTTCAAATTTATATTTTATTTTTAGAAAATAAATTTTACTTTTTTTCCGAAAAAATGATATTTTCGATTTTTTTTTTTCATATTTTTTCCCAAAAAATTTATTTTTGTTTTCAAGGAAAAAGATGTTTTTTATTTTAACATTTTCAAAAAAAATATTTTTTTTTTCAGAATTTTTTTTACTTTCAATTTATTTTTTATTCTTTTAGTGAGAAACTAATTTATATAATTAAACCAATTTATAAAAGAAAAATGATTCTAAACCGGTTATAAACTGAATTTGAATTATTTAAATTAAATGGTTCACTTCATTAACCATTTAAGTGGTTCAGTTTTTTTATGATTCAATGTAATTCAGTTTAAATATACAATTCAGTTAACAATATTTTTGAACACCCCTACTTTGGAATGTTTCTATACCTTTTAATTATATCACTTTATCTTCCATGAACCATTTTCCTTCGACCGCCAAAATTATTTAGATTTGAAAAATTACACTTTTTTCACTTGAATCACATGTCAGTTTTTCATTTAAGTGAAGAATAAAGTATTCAGTATTTGATTACTAAAATCAGTCCGATCACAGAATCACTATGTAATACTCATGCAAACTAAAACAGCCAAAAATTCCAATAATTGGTAAACATACAACAAGACATATCTTTGTACTTACTCACAATTGGATAGCCTCTTTATCATCAAAAGTTAAATTATAGGAATCCCAGCATAATACAAAATTTTGTTTAATGGTATCTGTTAGAATATAAAATAATATTTTAGAATATCTTCGTTTATCCCTTAGGAATAGTTTCTAGTCTTAGCATATCTTAAATTATCTCTTAGGGTTAATTTCCATATCTCTTATAATTATTATTTGTTTGTCCCAATTGTAACCCCTTAATAATATTACTTTTACAAAAAAAAGGGCACAATTTAAGGGGTACAATTGGGACCAAAAAAATAGCAAATGTAACAATTACTAAGGGACGGAGGGCGTAACAGTTAAAAACAAATAATAAGGCTAGAGGCCAATCACAATGACAGACAGAAAGAAATGGAAAATACATGAATTAGATTAGATACACTGTTGGAATCCATAAATTTCAAATATTCTAACCTCCAAAAAGTGATGTGCCCTTCGATGAACTTTTAGCCTTTGGACTACTTTTCTTGGGATTAACACTTGAAGGATTAATTTCACCAGGAACATTATAACCACTAGAAATACCATTTGAAGACTGGACTTTTGGTTGAATTCCCTCTAGCCTAGCATTAATATATTTCACCTGAAACCATTGTCATGCAATGCATAACGAACTAAAACTCACAGTAGTAGATGTGAAGATAAAAGAACCTTCAAATTTCCAACTACATATGTGAAATGTATATTAAAATGAATAAAATATTTAACAATAATGAAATCAATTTTTTGTTTAATGTTTACCAGAGAAGAAGGGAGGTCGTGGCGCTGAAGTTCATCACGAAATTGAGACCCAGCTTGTGCAAACATTTCCTGTAAAAAGAGGAAGTTAAAATACTCATATTATTTTTAATCTTCAAAACACTATTCTCAACTATGCATATATCAATTATTAAAGCATAAACATGCAAAATTGAATAAGTTGCATTAAAACATAACTAATTTTCCAAGAACTACATTACATCAATTCTTAAATTTAGAGCCATGCCAAGTTTACAAGTAAGACAAGTTTCAAAAACATCTGCTTTGACTGTAAATTATAGTCTAAAATCCACACATGGCGTGAATCTGACATCAAATCAGTCATACTGTCTAGGCCACAACTAGAGTCACCTCCATTTTCCCATTCCTTAATATTCATAATAGTGTTAAATGATATTATCAGACAAATCAGCATAAGAATTTTAGCAATCCATTCTACTCTATTTGGCTAAGAAAATGATTGATTGATATGTCATTTATCCTTTTTGGGGTAACTGGTATAAACTTAACAATTTAAGCAGCACTTAGCAAGTTCAAACTTCAAAATATATATGATGATAAGACACATGCTTACCTCAATGCACAAAATAGCTGCTTCCCTGACAACAGGATTTGGATCACTCAGCAATTGCAAAGTCTGTTATCGATCAGTTTCTGAAGAGTTAGATCACATTCAAAAACTAAATAACAAAAAAAAAAGATATGTACTGTTAGTTTGTAAAAGCCAACAAACATACAGGAGGAAGAATAGCCCGCTGGAGGGGTAGTTCAGTAGATGAGAATAGACCAATTGCAGATGTCAAAGTTCGCGCAAACTCCTCTCTGACTCTCCAGTTTTTGCATGTCCAAGCAAAAGACCCCGCTCTTTCAACAATTATTGTAGGAGATGAAACCTGCAATAATAATAAAGTAACAACAATAAGAAGAAGAACAATAGAATTGAAAAATGATAGGAAGTTGAAGGGTACTCATAAAGTATTTTAAAACTGCAATAACAACAGGCCCGAGAGGACACGGGGATGAGGAATGCCATTGTAAAGAGCTTCAGACATTTATAATGCTTCTACTCTATGTGTACTTGATGGATTCATTGATGCCAAAACTATACACAGAATCATTGTAAATGCATTGAAGCTTTTTACTGTCAGGGAATGCAGATAATTTTATTCCAAAATAAACATTGAACATAGAATAAGGGCGTAAACTCAAACTTGGAATTTACAAACATCTGCAATGAAAAACTCAATGGCAACAACCCAAGAACAGCGTGCAATACATATAGCAAGGGTTGGCCCTAATAATTAGCTTCCAACACAACTTGTATATAGTATAAACATATCCCTGTCCGTACGACATTTTAGAAAAGGATATCCTTCCTATAAAAGTTTATGGATAGGTACATAATAGATACCCATTTGTTTTAGATTTTTTTTATCATTTTGATGTGTTTAGTTATGCTTGTGTGTAAGCTCTTCTCAGAAATCCTTTTGTTGAAAAATGATTTTCATGCTGAAAATGAAATAGCTATTGTGATTAGATTTAGAAGAAAATCATTTTTAATAGATGAGAGAAAAATATAGTTTATGGTGTTTATTTGTTCAACCATGTTAACGAAAAACTGTTTTAACATGCATAGTTATCAACTTGAATGATTTTTCATTTATGGTTTATGCTTTTCTTAAAAGTCTAAAGAATAATCTTCAAATTATTTATATCAAAATCACTTTTATTTTAATTTTAATCTATAACAGACGGACACATAGAGTGCACAAGCATAGGTCTCAATATATATGAATGATATTCATCATAAAAAATAATAACTACCGACATATCATTGAAACTCACTCTAACTAAATGCTATACACCTGCCAGCCGGCTTGAGAGTGATTTGGCATGCTCTAATAAACAAAATGAGCGGTATTCTTAATTTACTTCACATCACACTTTACAGCAGATGCAATTTACATCACTGCCTCACCATTTCTTCACCTATTTTCAAATTTGCATTACTATATTTAGTGAATTAGTATATTTTATACATGTATCCTAAAGGCTAAATCTATTTATCAGATACCCTATATTTTTCAATGAATAACGTACTGTAACAGATGCTCACCGTAGATTCTAACCATGTAACAGTTAGCCTGATTGAGAAAATTTTGGCGTAGCTAATAAACAAACAATTGAGTATTCTTGATTTCATTTTAAGATTGTTGGTTGATCCAACCTACTAGAATCACATGATGAAGCTTTAAATAACACAGCATTTGACTGATGAAACAACACTAAAACAGAATGTGATGGGCAATGGCCTATGGCTGCATGACAAGACAAAGCCAAGAGAGCTCTTAAGGTTAAAGTCAGAATTCTTATCAAAGATATTATGGTATGATTTAGAACTAGGAATCTTTTGAGGAGTCCATAACCATTGCTAACCAACCATTCACCACATGTATATCCAAACCATCTTCGATCATCATCACTCAACCGATTTTTCATTTCCAATAACCATACGATATCTTGGCTGGCATCGGTAAAACTCAAAATATCCACAGGAAAAACTAAAGAAACCACCAATCCAAGAAGAAAAGGTTCATCTATAAGTACTATGATATAAATACTACCAATCTTTCTCTTGGTACACTCAAAGATATATTCTGATCTCACTTTTCAACTCATGCCTATCTTTATCATTTCATTTCTCATCACTCAAACACTTACTTTTCACTTTCCAAATGCAGATTCCAAGAGTCTCTACATCACAAGAAGCTAGTATTCTGAATCTAACCTTCCCTTAATTTCTATATAACATTGATAATAACCTATGAAATACAAACACCGGAAACACGAAACCGACACTGTCGACATCAGTAATAATTTGAAAAAAATGAATAAATTAAACGTAACCGACACTAATGCAGACACACTTTTTTCAGAAGTGTATGTGCTACATAACATTAAGAAGTTTCGCATTCACAATTCCCTAAATCACAACAGATAGATACAAATTACAATGAAAACGAATATACCTCCATGAGAGTGAGCAAAAGCCTTCTAGCCGCATCACGAACAGGTTGCTTAGCATCACCTAACCGATCAACGATAGCAGGAACAAGTGTATCGAAGTGAAGTTTAAAGTGATCGCCGGAGAGAACAGCGGCGGAAGCCAAAGCTTGCAGCGCGCCTTGAGAGACCCTAAAACTACTATCCTTCAAGAGATCCAAGCAACAATCGACGAGAGAGGAAACTTCGGTTGAACTGAGACTCTTTCTAGAAGCTTCTAGAACTTGGTGGAGACGCTCCACGCCTGCCATCCTTTCCTTGCCGTCTTTAGCGCGTGCCAGTTCCAGTGCTTCCTCCATTGCGGCGAGGTTGGATCTGATGCGACCTGGTTCGGATCTGGTTCGATTGTTAACTGATTTAGCACGACATGGAAACGATTGGGGAACTGAGAAATTTCAAATGCGAATGAGGAAATGCACGCGAAGGAGTTAGAGTTAGAGTGAGGGAGTGAAGTGAAAGGAGAGAGACAATTTTTAGCGGAGGCGTAAAATTTACTACTCAGATGAGAGAGAGAGAGAGAGAGAGAGAGAGAGAGAGAGAGAGAGAGGACTGAAATAGAATGTGGAGAGAAAAGAAGTAGAACAGAGTGGAGGAGAAGATGAAGGATGCACAAAAAAGAAAGTGATTTGAAAACAATGTTTATGAGGTGGCGGTGGTTGTAAAATTAAACCATGCATGTGCTTCTAAATCTATTTCTAATCCAAATGGTGTGTTGCTTTAAAGTATTTTTCTAATTAAATAAGATTTTTGTCCCTACATACCAATTATAAATTTTATGTTTTGTTCCATACAAAAATTAACTTCTTTTTTTTTTTCTTTCGCATTCTGATTTCTAGGATAATATCTTCTAGGAGTTCAGAGTTTATACCTAGAAATTATAATATTAGTTAAAGAATGTTTCTATCAAGAATTGAATTTGATATTCTCTCATAAAACATTTTTCAATGAAATTTATTAAGATTTAAAGAATATTTATTTTTGAAAATTTATCACGATTTTTTTTATGAAATTCACATTTAATTTAATATATTTTTGTATGGACTTGCAATGTGGATTATTTCAGCTGATGATTTAACATTCATGTCACTCATTGAAATTTGTTGGCGAGGTGTTTTGATTATTGCATCTTCTTTGGGCAGGCTCCTTCTTTAAGTGATGGGGTGTACTTGAAAAAAAATACTTCAATGTCGGAGTAAGAAGAAGTGTATGTAAATAGCAAGAAAGAGGATTAATTAAGTGATCATACATAGAACGAACCTCTTATTTATATAGTATTTGGACTCATATATATTTTATGGAGTTGTCATTTCCATTGCAATAACGTTTGAGATCGTTAATGAATAAAATAATTTTGTTATAACTTTGATATATATATATATATATATATATATATATATATATATATATATATATATATATATATATATATATATATATATATATATATATATATATATATATATATTATCCTTGTATGATTTGAATGTGTTTCATATAGTTTAGAACGTTGAGAGTGTGTATGTGTCTCTATAGGTCTGATTTGTAGACGCATTAGTTTTTTGAGATGGCCCTGAGGTAAATTGATATGATGTGACATTTTTTAATGTTGAGTTGAGCATCTCATATCATATGGCTTTGTGTCTCACTATTGAGCAATGTTCTATTCTTTGAGAGGTGGACTTCTTTAGTGGACGATCTATAATATATTTAAGTTGGACTGCTTAGCCTCATACCACACAAATCCCCAAGAGTTTTAATGAAAGCTTTGTCATTTATAAGTGTAAGCATGATGAAGCTAAGAACACATAGTTGAAAGGATCTTAATTAGTAAAAAGAATTAAGTAAAGAAAAATCTCATGAGCTGTGAAGACTGGACTAACCACATTGGTGAACAAGGATAAATCTTGTGAGTTATTCTTTCTTAACCATTTCCTTAATATATTTTACTCTAAATCAATTGTCATTCACATCACCAATCATTTACTAAATTCAACACTCGCATCTTTTATCCAAAGATTCATTGAGAACTTGTATTTTTTAGAAAAACCAGGAATAAAAAGAATGTTTTCAAAGATTCACAATTCAACCTTCCATTTTGTGATGTTCCTTATTAAAACAATGAGGAGCAAGAAGTCGCATGATCGTTAGGGGTGGAAAATCGGGTCCGACCCGTCGAGCATGCCTATTTTGCCTGCACTTTTTTACGGGGCGGGTCAAGGTTTTAGGCATGCATCCTTTAATGTGCCTACCCCGCCCCGTCCCATTTTTTAGGGTTTTTGCGAGCACGTGATTTACATATAATTTTGTAATTTTTAGGACTAAACGTTACAATGTTCACGGGTTCGCCCCACCTTGCCTACTTCTATGCGGGACGGGGCAAGGTTTTAGGTCCACACCCTTTATATATGCTCGCCCCGCTTTGTCCCATTTTTGCAGGTTTTTGTGAGACGGGCGTGTTTGTTTTCCACCCCTAATGCTTGTCATCATCCTTTAGCTAGTGACCTAAAGCAAAATATTCCTAGATAAAGATCTTGTCAAATACGGTCCGAGTAAAAGAACAAAGACTTCTAACTCCAGGCCCACTGGAAATTCTCTTGAGGTTTCTAACGCAACACTTACCAAACAACCTCTACTATTTCCTCCAATGTAACTCAAATGTCTTAAGAAGTGCGAAAGTACTTATCAGAACTAGATGCCACTTGTTCCGTTCTAGAACAAAAAATGAGTGTATGTATGATGGTGATAGTGGATCTCAGCTTATAACGTAGTGGAGTGAGAGGACCTGCAAGGTTAGAACTCCAATGCTCAAGTCAGTATATGAGGAAGAATAGTGAAATGAAATTGAATTTGAAATATGTTACCTCAATTTGGCGCCTTCTCTATATTTAGAGAAGGGGAATAAAGAACTAGTTATTTGATAGACGTAAAATCTAGAGAACCTTTGGATGCATTTGTAGTTGAGATCTCTTATAATTATTAGGGTAATAATCTCCGTGTACTTGAGAGTATTCTGGAAGAAGTCAGATCCCTTTCTGATGGTTGGTCGGGGTTGATGTGGTTGGCCCAAAAGAATTTCCCCTTAAGCCTTTGTCGATGTATAGGTAGGTGGGGGCTTGATACTTTAGCCTCATATGCGACCACCCCTTGATCACCTTAATACCAGTGAAAGAGAAATGTTTTAGTTTCTTTGGAGAATTAGGTATTTAATCCATCATGCTTCAACATCTTTTTAGGGGTATCATCATTATGGATCTTGGGAAACCAAACTCTTGAGTGTTGTGTGTGATTTATTAGAAGTGTTTTGTGAAGCTTCTTTGCATTTTAGAATATAGTCTCATTCAGAAGTATAAGTGTTACTTCTTTCTAAGTTATTCTTTTTAAAGTCTAGCAATTACCTTCTTCTTTAGCATTTCATTTTCTTGCAACTGTAAAGTTAGTGCATATGAGCAAAAAGTCACAGAAAAATGTTCACAAGTCTCAAAAGGACACTCAATCTTCTTGGGTGGATCATGTATACTCTTATATTATTTATGTTTTTTTCTAAAGTTGGTGGTCTTGATGATGTTTTCACAGAAGTTGGTCCATCTTCCTAGTGGGGAATCTTGAGTCCTTGCAAGGATGCAATAATCTATGACAAGTATAACGATTATGACATTCCTTTTTATGGATGTGTTTTCCCTATCATGGGCATTTGTCTTCCCATTAATGCCTTTAAGATAGAGATTTTGAAACACCTGGAAATGGCTTATTTGTAACTTTATCCTACATGTTGGGCATATATGAAGGTATACTTATACTGGTGAGAGTATACTTCATCCTGCGAGTATTTTCTTTCATCTCTTCTGGAGCTCCAACCTTTGGGGATCGGTTCTTTCTAGTAATCCTAATCAACCCAAAAGCTCATGTCGCAGTTTGCAACATCAAAAACAGAGTGGATGGTTGATAGCCGACATGTTCTCCAAGTATTAGACTAAAGGTCTCTTTCTGCTGTGGAGTCGTCTTTACATATATAGGGAAAATGATCTTCCCTATGAAGCTCGGTACCAGAACGATCAGTTAGGGAAGTTTATCAACAATCTAGGATACACTAAATGAGGTGTTCCTATAGAGGAGATAAAAAATAAATGCTTAAAGCTCCTTACTAACGTCTAGTTGTTAATAAAAGCTCGTTCTCTAGAAGAGAAAAAATCATCTTTTGTAAGATCTGGGACTTTCGATATTTTTAATATATATATATATATCTCTAATGTATTTACTTTATTCATAATTGTATGCATAATATATGGATAATGAAGTGCAGCTCCAACTTCTAAGGCAGTGAATATAGTCAGACGAGAGTGACGTTGCTACAGAGGCCTTGTCGAATTTACCGAGGGTATAAGGCCTGAATACTCGCCCCTTAATGATGGGACATGACTCTTGTTTTATCGAGGATTGTAACACCCCAGATTTTAGATTTAATTATTTAACTGATATTGTGTGATTTATAGTGAATTATGTGATGTATGTGTGATATGTTGTGGGGTAGTGGTAGATTAAGGTGATAATTAAAATAATATAGAATTAAATAATTTAGTTTATGTTATTTAGATTTATATTAATAGAATAAATAGTATATTAAGGTGAAAAGGAGAAAATAAGGGCATGGTGGTGATATGTGAAGATAAGTGAGGGTATAAGGGGAATAACATAGAAAGGATCTAAGGGATAAAAAGATAAAAGGGAATAATTGAGATCATTTTGGTACGATCGTGGAATTGGTAGAACGTGAAGAAAAGCTAGGGCTCAGAGGAAGATTCAGTAGAACTCGAAGAGAAATAGTCAACTCGCTGAGGAATTAAGGTAATGGATTTAATCTTATTTCATTATGATTGATAGAGGGTTAAGGTAATGTATGGTTTTGATGTGTGATTAATTTGATGAAATATGTGACTAAATTGATGAGATATGATGAAATTATTGATATTGATGATATATATAAATGTCATGGTTTAATCCCAATAGGTGTTGATACATGTTTTGATGTTAATACATGATATATGATAATTTTTTAATATTTTGGGATGAGTATGGTATTTGTAATCAAAATTGGAAGGGTTGGTATTAGTAGCGAAATCGCAATAGGAATTTACAGTTCCACAAGCACGGCCAGGCGAGCGAGAGGCAAGCAGAGCGCTCGAGCGTCGCTTGGAGAGACAATTGGAGAGAAAAATGGTGGAAAAGTATGGCTCCTGGAAAATGTATGAGGGATGGAGCATCGCTCCAGCGTCGTCGGGCGATGAGGTTGCGAGTAGAGCGC